TCTCATATCTCTCATGGTTACCATAGAGAGTTCGGAATGCTCCAGGCCATGAGCTTTTCATACATAGATACCCACTGCACTCACCCTCAATCTCAACCCCTTTTTCATCCACTATGACAGGCTGCCATAGCACAAAAAGAGGACAATAGCAAAGCAGAAGTAAAAGTTAACAAAGAGAAAATTAATAATAATAAAAAATAAATAACTGTTCTGTAACAGCACAACATTACAACTAATATTTAGCACTGAACCTGGACTCCAAAGAAAGGAAAGGTAGCTGAACCAGGCTTTTGTGGCCAGGCACCAGGTAGTGGAGTAATCTGCAAATTAGCATGGAAGGTGACTACCAATGTAAACAGGAAAATTTTGTCAGACTTTTCCAGTTTAACAGAGTTAAATTGAGAACATTGCCTGGCTTATACCAAAAAATAATAGACAACAAAGAAGAAGAAAAAATTACCATGAAGCCACCAGTTTCCGTCTGCCACCATGTATCAGATATAGGACATCTAGAGTCTCCAACTATATTATAAAACCACCTGTAAGGAAGACGGATAAGTTAAAATATCATTCTTTCAATAAAAAATTTAGAATTTTGTATTATACAGAATATGGTTCTCACAACCTCCATGCACTTGGATTAATGGGTTCACCAACACTTCCAAGGACCCGTAGGGACTTGCGAGAGTAGCGAGTAACATACTGCACGATAGTGATGAAGATCAGTATGGCATTCAGTAAAATGACCTCATAAAAGCAAGCTCCATCCCTGATCATTGAAAAAACAACAGTATACACTCAAGAAACAACCTGAGAAAGACAACCCCCCACCCCCCCTCTCATTCAAAGCGTAACAACAAAACAAGATAATATTCTTCACAGGTGAGATAATGCAGTTGATATATCACGCATTCAAAATAGAACAAAAATAATGAAATGCTTCTAAAGTCAATGCGGTTCCATTAATTAGTGATGCTCCCCAAGTTTAGGAAGAAAAGGTTGCACAAGGTGACTGGAACAAGAAAAAAGATTTATGAAGCCAATTCAACAATCAAGTTTACGAAGTTTTCTTACCTCATCACCCTCACGCTTGAGGGACCGCACCAATGTGGGGGTAGTGTAGAATAGGGTCACCTTGTATTTGTCAACAATGTCCCAACATCGCCCAGGATCAGGATGATTTGGAGCCTGACGAAAAGACATGGATATTTTGCTATTAGTAGAATTTAGAAACACCTGGACTTAATTAAATCAAACCATGTGGTTATTTTATTCTTCCTACTCAATCACTACTTTTTTTGGGCATCATAATCAATACTTGACAATCAAAGCTTTTGTGCCAATATTTGCAATACTACAATCTATATGATGGACAGTACCTTGGTCTGTTGCTACCTTAATAAACTGTTAGCATCACCTTATCAAGAAAACTTGCTAACATCTTCCATACAGTAATCTTTATTCCAATAGCAGAGTATTGCATATTCTGCATTTTTCTCCTTAAAAACAAAAAATTAATTTACATCAAAAAGGGTGGGTTGATGCCGAACTTTATAGTAGTTTCTTGAGATGTCTTCAGAGGAAAACTTGGATAAAAAAAGGAAAAAAAAAAGAAGAAGAGGGAAGCTCTTATTTGTTATTAATTGGAATTAATTTTATTCTCTTGAAACGGTAATACATTAAAGTTCAGTTTTATGTCAATTTGTGTTTGTTCAGAAGCTTTGCATATTTCTCCTGGCTAGTAATTTCCCATATGGTTAAGTGCTTTTTCTATGCCATTAGTGATATCTAAATTTTCCAGTTAAATTTAGTAGATTATGTGAAAAAGGCAATAACATTAACACTTTGTTTTGATTGGGAAATTGGAGGGGAAG